CCAAACCCCTCTTGTTCCTCATAAACATCCCCAAATGCCCATTTTTCCCTCACAAACATTCCCAAATCCCTATTTTTCCCTCATAAACTTTCCCAAATCCCTCTTTTTCTTCGCAAACATTCCCACATCCTGATTTTTCCCTTACAAACATTCCCAAATCCCTCTTTTTCCTCAGAAACCTTCCCCAAATCCCCGTTTTTCCTCACAGACATTCCCAAATCCCCATTTTTCCCTCACAAACATCCCCAAACCCCCAATTTTCCCTCACATTCCCAAACCCCCATTTTTCCCTCACAAACATTCCCAAATCCCCATTTTTCCCTCACAAACATTCCCAAATCCCCATTTTTCCCTCACAACCATTCCCAATCTCCTCTTGTTCCTCACAACCATCCCCAAATCCCCATTTTCCCCTCACAGACATTCCCAAATCCCCATTTTTCCCCTCACAGACATTCCCAAATCCCCATTTTTCCCTCACAACCATTCCCAAATCCCCATTTTTCTCTCACAACCATTCCCACATCCCCATGTTTCCCTCACAACCATTCCCAAATCCCCATTTTTTCCACACAAACATTCCCAAATCCCCATTTTTCCCTCACAAACATTCCCCAATCCCCTTTTTTCCCTCATAAACATTCCCAAACCTCCATTTTTCCCTCACCAACATTCCCAAACCCCTCTTGTTCCTCACAACCATTCCCAAATCCCCATTTTCCCCTCACAACCATTCCCAAATCCCCATTTTTCCCTCACAACCATTCACAAATCCCCATTTTTCCCACACAAACGTTCCCAAACCCCTCTTGTTCCTCACAAACATTCCCAAATCCCCTTTTTCCCTCACAACCATTCCCAAATCCCCATTTTTCCCTCACAAACATTCCCCAATCCCCTTTTTTCCCTCATAAACATTCCCAAACCTCCATTTTTCCCTCACCAACATTCCCAAACCCCTCTTGTTCCTCACAGACATTCCCAAATCCCCCATTTTCCCCTCACAAACACCCCCAAACCCCCCCCTGTCCCTCCCACCCCTCTCCCAGAACACCTTCCCTCCAACTCTCCCTTCTCTTCCCGCCTTTCCCGGGCTCCGAATTCCCCGTGGGAACGCCGGGAATCTCCGGGACCCCCACCTTGTTGGCGCAGACGACGAAGACGACGTTGTCCATGTTGCCGTGGGGGCCCAGCTCCTGCTTCATCTCGGCCAGCCACGAGTCCAGCGAGTCGAAGGATTCCTTGGAGCCCACGTCGTACACCAGGAGCACCCCCTGGGTGTCCTTGTAGAACTCGTTCCGCACCTGGAAAAGGGGGACACGTGGGGTGGGACACCGGGAATGGCTTCCCACGGCCAGAGATCGGGAAGGGGATTCCCGGCTGGGCTGGAATTCCCAGGGAAGCTGTGGCTGCCCCTGGATGATCCCTGCAGTGTCCCAGGCCGGGTTGGATCCCCTGGGATAGCGGGAATTGTCCCTGAACATGGAATGGGATGATCCTGAAAATCCCTTCCCACCCAAACCATTCCAGGAAAAAGGACACTCAGGATTCATTCAGAGGGATTTTTATGGAATGTGGGGATGGAAAAGGCAGGGAAGGGGAAGGGAGCCGTACCTCGTAGAAGAAGGGATGTCCCGCCATGTCAAAGATGTTCACCTTGATCTCCCGGTCCCTGATCTGCACCCTGGAAGAGACGTGGGAAACCTGGGAATCGTGGAATTGGGCAGCTTGGAAAAGCCCTCTGAGGCCATCCCATGTCCCCAAGGGCCACATCCCCAGGGATTGATTGGGAATCCCTGCAGGGATGGCGACTCCAGCCCTGCCCTGGGAAGTTCATTCCAATGTTTAACCACCCTTTCCATGTGGGAATTGTTCCCAATATCCCACTAAACCTCCCCTGGCCCAGCTGGAGGCCGTTCCCTCTCCTCCTGGCCCTCGTTCCCTGGGAACTGGGGACACCCCCCCTGGCAGGGAGCAGATTCCCTGGGCCCATCCCGGTTTCCCGGCCCGTGTGCCGTGTCCGTGGCCTCACTTGGTGACTCCATAGTCGATGCCGATGGTCGCCAGGTACTTGGACACGAACCTCTTCTCACAGTACCTCTTGATGATGCAGCTCTGGGAAAAGTGGGGGGGGGGGGAAATGGGAATCTCAGCGGGAATGGCCCCAAACAGCCCCATATTCCCAAAAAAACAGGGAATTCCCAGAGGCTCCTGGACACTTTAAGGTAGTGCTGACCACACCCATTTGGTCCAGCAGCCAATCAAAAGCGATGATACCAAGGAGGTCCTGCCCCCTCAGCTGTCAATCATTCTTTTCAGAGCTGTCAATCATCCTCCAGAGCTGTCAGACATCCATCCTTCGCCACGCCCCCACAGCTGTCAATCAGTCATCCTCCTCCACCACGCCCTCTCAGCTGTCAATCATCCTCCCTCTGCCACGCCCTCTCAGCTGTCAATCATCCCCTCCGCCACACCCCCAGCTGTCAATCATCCTCCCCCGAGCTGTTAATCATCCTCTGAGCTGTCAATCATCTCCCTCCGCCACGCCCCCTGAGCTGTCAATCATCCCCAACCCCGCGTCCCGCCTCCGTCAATCATCCCTTAGTCCCACCCCCCTCTGATTGGCTCGCCCAGCCTCCAGCCCGCCAATCCGCATCCTCCCTCATCGCAGCGCCCGCCCCCCCACGCTTCTCATTGGCCGCCCGGCCCGCCCCTCCCCTCCCGCCCGCCAATCGGCGCTTCTCACCTTGCCCACCTCGGCGTTGCCCATGGAGATGACTTTAACGCGCAGCGCCTTGCGCGGCTCCTTCCGCTTCGGCGGGCTGGGCTCCATGGCGGGCCCGGGGCGGGAGGACCCGCGGGAGCGTCGGAGGGAGGGATGGAGGGAGGGATGAAGGGAGGGATGGAGGGAGAGGGAGCGGCGCTTTCCCCCTCAGCCCTCGCCGCGCCGCTCCGCGCCGCAGCTCTCGCGAGACTTCGGGCAGCGCACAGCGGCGGCAATGCAGCCCAAGCCCGAGTTCTCGCGAGACTTCGGGGTTGGTAGGGGGGGCCCGCTGATGACCGGCAGGGGGCGCCAGCGGAGGGAAGGGGGGGGTGGTGTCACGTGGCCCCGTCACGTGGCACGGGGGCTGTCACGCGGACTGGCGCGTGTCGCTTGTCACTTTGTCTATTGTCATCTATCCCCTCGTCATCTGTCACCTGTCCCCCGTCCCTTGTTCATTGTCCCCTGTCACTTGTCCCTTGTTCCTTGTCCCTTGTCCTTTGTCACCTGCGCCTTGTCCCCTGTCACTTGTTCCTGTCACCTGTCCCCAGCCCTTGTCACTTATCCACTGTCACCTGTCCCTTGTCCACTGTCACCTGCGCCCTGTCCCTTGTCCATTGTCACCTGTCCCTTGTTCATTGTCCCTTGTCCTTTGTCACCTGCCCCTTGTCCCCTGTCACGTGTCACCTGTCCCCTGGCCCTTGTCACTTGTCCCCTCATACCTCACCCTTGTCACCTGCCCCTTGTCCTCCCTCACTTGTCACCAGTCCCGTGTCCTTTGTCACCTGCCTCTTGTCGCTGTCACGTGCTCATTGTCGCTTGTCCCCTGTCCCTTGTCCCCTTGTCCCTGCCACTTGATCCTTGCTCCAGCCTTTCCTGGGACACTGCAGGGATCATCCAGGGGCAGCCACAGCTTCCCTGGGAATTCCAGCCCAGCCGGGAATCCCTTCCCAATCTCCCCTTTCCCAGTGGGAAGCCATTCCCTGTGTCCTTCCAGGCATTGCAGGCCCTGATCCCAAATCCCTCTCCAGCTCTCCTGGAGCCCCTGCAGGCTCTGGAAGGGG